TTAGATCCCGGTCAACAGTCGGATGTGTGCCGTTAGATTAGCTGGTTCGTTCCATGCTAGGAAGTCGCGCGGGAACAGACGTTGCCTGTTTTTCATTGCAGCCTACGCCCCTACAAACTGTAGCATTAATTCGGTGAAAGATGATTTCTATTAGCAGCTTTATGATCTCCTTCGTTACAGAAGTCGCACGGATACTGTGCTACTTGCTGGTGATCTAAACGCCCAAGTCAGAATATTGTCCTCTGATGAGCTTCATCTGGGCGACCAACATGGTGTAGGCTCCCGTAATGATAACGGTGAGCGATTGCTACAGCTGTGTGAAGATGCTCGTCTCTTTCTCGCGAGCACAAACTTTCGACACAGCACCCGCAGAAGCGTGACTTGGCGCCCACCAACTTCGCACCAGCCATGAACGCAAATCGATCATATCGCGATCAGTTACCGCTGGAGAGGCTGCGTCCAAAACTTTCGCTGGATTTGGAGCACAATCGTGGACTCTGATCACGCACTTGTTTGTGCCGACCTCTGGGTGCGTTTCGGCCGGCGACCGCAAAGTCGATGTGAACGGATTGACACCAGCCAGCTGGCGAAGCCAGGTGTTCTGAATGTGTAACCAAATGCGCTGACATCTGGGCTGAGTAAGCGCCCACTGAACACCGTCGAAGATCACTGGTCGCATATTCGTCAAACGTTACTATCAGCAGGCATGTCTTCATGTGGCAAATCAAATTGCCAAACTAGACATTGGGTCTCTACACAGTCTCTGGAACTTATGGATGCTCGCCGACGTATTCCGGCTGGAAGCGAATACAATGAGACTCGCAAAAATCTCAGGACAAAACTGCGTGCTAGCCTGAAGAAAGACTGCGAAGCTTGGTGGTCTCATCGTGCCTCGGAGATGGAAACAGCCGCTACCGTTGGTAATCATCGTAAGTTATTCCGTCTGATACGGGAAACAGGCAGCAGGAGACCTGGTGTTAGCGAGACATACGCGACGAGAGTGGGAGCCGATCCACAGCCTGTCAAAACGCTTGGAGCGTTGGGCCGAACACTGCAAGGCAATTTAACCAACCTGAGTTATCGCTTTCTTTTTCGGGCATTGAGCGCCTTTCTCCCTGAGCCGTCTCCTTGGATCCGCCCTCACGCGCAGAAGTCGAACGTGAGATCAGGCTGTTGAAATTGCATAAGGCCGCAGGGGCAGATAAAATTCCCACTGTCCTCTTCAAATTCGGGCACCTGCTCTGGTAGATGATTCACACGAGTTGCTGGTGATAGTTGGGAGCAGGAGACTGTCCCGACAGACTGGAGCCACTCTGTCATTGTCCCGATTTTCGAAGGAGGCTCCCGTTCGGAATGCGGCAATCATAGAGGGGTCAGTCTGATCTCACTTGCCTCTAAATTTCTTGCGTCTGTCATTTTCCACATACTGACTGGCACTCGTAGAAGCCTGATTCGTGAAGTGCAAGCCGGATTTCGTCGAGGTCGGGGCTGCATCGACCACATCTTCACCTTGCGTCAATTGTTGGAGCACCGCCATGTTTATTGGCAACCCGCCGTTGTCGTGTTTCTTGACATAAAAGGTGACTTCGACTCAGTCGATCGATCTGCCCTTTGGGACTGTCTGCTGAGGAAAGGTGTGCTCGATAAATACGTAAACATTATCAGAGCGCTGTACGCGCATAGTTCGGGCAGAGTGAGGGTTTATGGCAAACTGTCGCCACCCTTCAGTATCACCAGCGGTGTGAGACAAGGTTGCCCGCTGTCACCTTTCCTATTTAACTTCGCATTTGACGAAGTCATGGAAACAGCATTCGCTGGACACGACCTAGAAGGTGTGGAGCTACTTCCTGGTGAGCGACTTCTTGACTTGGAGTATGCGGACGATATTGCCCTAATCTGTGACAGCTCCCAAACATGCCAAGCAGCACTGGACCGATTAGCACTGGCTGTCTATCGTTTTGGGCTATGCTTTGCTCCATCGAAATGCAAAGCACTTCTCCAAGATTGGCAGGAATCCACTCCTGCGTTGACGGATTGTGGTGATCAGCTAGAAGTCGTTCAGGAATTCAAGTATCTGGGCAGCTATATTAGCGCCCGTGGGATCGAAGATGAGATTATGAACCGGATAGCAAAAGCTCGAGGTGCTTTTGCCAATCTCCGCCACCTGTGGCGCAGACGCGACATTACTCTCGCCCTGAAGGGCAGAGTTTATAATGCAGCCGTCCGTTCAACTCTCCTATATGGTTGTGAAACCTGGCCCATCAGGTCGACAGACATAAAGAGGCTAGTCACGTTCGAACATCGCTGCCTGCGCTACAGCTTATGTCTGGTGGGAGCACCGCGTGAGCAATGAGCTTGTTCGGCGTCGCGTATTTGGTGCAGGAAGAGCGAGTGAACCGCTCAGCTCTATTATATCACGCACTAGGCTCTGATGGCTGGGCTGCGCGTTGCACGTGCCAGCACACCGACTCCGGTGACGAGCGTTGTTTGCGCGCCGGGGGTGCGGTTGGAAGAGGAAGGGGAGACCAAGCGATGACTTGATTGGGAAGAATGAAGGCCCTCACTTCGAGATTGGTGTCGGTCGGTGCATCTCGACTGCCTGGCTGGGATCCTAATGACGATGAACACATTTGCTAATATGACGAAGAGCCGGCACCAATGACGTTTGTGTTGTGACTTTCTTTGTTCATCCCGCTTTAGGTTCTTCCTCCAATCCCGATCTCATGCAAAACGCATAATCTAATATTTAACATCATATTTGTAGCGTAATTTATGTAATTTGTAGTGCACTTTTTTAGTATAATCTTTTTTATTGCGGCACATTAGCTGAGGTGTGTTTCTCACCCTCAGCTTAAGTGTACTGATGATGATGCTGATGATCTGCAAGATCGAATGTTTGTTGGGCCTGGCTTTATGCTAGGTGACGGTGGTCTACTGTTTGTTTCTCTATTGGCGTTTGGGGGGTTTGCAACAGAGGAGACACTGAATGTAGCATCCTGAGGGAATTTCTTAGCGATCTCTGCATATGTGAGCGAAGACACGTGGGATTTGAACCTAACCAGAGACCCTTGGGTTGCACATGTAGTAGACTCCTGTTCGGCTGTCCCGTCCTTTTTAGTGATACAAGTTTTCAAATCCGTCTGAATTTGATCGATCACACGTTTCCAGTGGTGTCTGCTTTTAGTGGTCCTGAGTGCCATTTGTCTATCAGAGCTATGGTCTGTTTCCGCCTGGCGTTCTTCCAAAAGTGAAGAAGATCACGACAATAGAAACTAGTCAATCGTGGTTCGGGCGAAACAAATTTTGCACTATTGCTTCTCTTTGAAGCCGCTATGTTATCCTTTTTCATATTCTCTTCCAGTGATATAATCTTAGCTTTCGTTCGTCGTTCAAAATTTCTGCTCACTGGTCGCAATTTTGGCTTAGGTGAAGGATGAATTCGACTACTGGGATTGTCGAACACGCAGTACAATATAAATCTCGTCACGGAAGCTGTTTCGATCTCTCGCGTGTAGTTGGGAAAGATTTACACATTTTGAATGATACCATTTGAAGCAGTGCGAGCAAGGTAAACCAAATTTGACTACTGGGTTGCACTGTGGACCCACATTTGCCCTTCGACAGAAGTCTTTTTGGATTCGCATCTGCTTGCTTTCTGCTACTCGTCATAGTTTTGTTGCCTTACATAGTAAGCTAGTTAACGTTGCGTACTTTTCATGCTAGCCGGCTTCGCATCCTACTCAGACGGAGGGAAGCGGCCACTTCGCTTTTTGGTCACACACTGAATAGGAATTGTACGTTCCAAGTGCAACGCAAAAGGAGATATTTTAAATCACGCAACGGTATGCACATCTTTGTTTGTGTTTCTTTTATCTAGCAGCAAAGGTAATCCATTGTCTCGGAAAGTGACACCTTGGTGAACAGCTGGACAACATCCCAGGAAAACATTACCTTCCTACCGATGTTGAGGTCTTTGATTCCTTCGGTCACTCACATAACTTCAGTAATATGACGGCGACAAGTATTGGTAAACAGATCCATTCACGAGGAATAGACAAGGGAAATATTACCGTTGTTGGATAGGATAGTTCAACACTGATCACTTTATTGCTACACTCGGAGCTTTCATAATTGGGAATTCGCATGCTACTCTTGCATTAGTCTTTGCCAAACCTCCGTGAAGTGTCATTAGTGCATGCGGTCTTTGTTCATCATCACTAAACGGTTGCGTGTGAAAAGTGGGTTTCGGGCGACGTCCCACTGCTTCGCCCTTTCACGACAATCTAGAATATCACTTATTCGTACCCGACTACCAGCCGATAGAAGTAATAAATTCAAGACCACTGGCTCTTACAACAGATGACCTGAAGCCACTGGTTGCATGTCAGTGGGATGGAAAGACCGTTGCCATGTGTACTGCCTTGTATGGGACGGTCTTGAGTCCTGGAACAGCAGTTTTGAGAACCATGCTCCAGCAGCTTTTTCACCATTCATGGGCTTCCACATTTCAGTGATTTTTGACAGATGGCCATGGTTCGGTTAAAGTTGTTCATAGTCCATTTCACCAGGATGAAAACCGTCGCGTGGAAGATCTATGGGTGCTGGCTTCTTGGCATCGAATGCCAGCAACTGTGTGCGCGCACTCGATTTATGCCTCTTAATGGAATCCGCTGTGTTGGCTTTAACACACGATAACATATTCTGTTATTTGTATTGGTTGTTCCGCTCAACTGCACACTCAGACATGAGATACTACTCTCGCACACATGTTTATCAGGTTTGTCATAGTCTGACATTTCTTAGGGAATTTGTCGCAATCTGCTAACACACTAACCGATTAGTACTTCCATCTCCGAAAGTTTTCATATGCTCCAAGGTGACATACGAACGACCGACAAGAAGTGGTCGTCCCTACTTACTTTGGTAGTAAATTGAAGCACAATTGGTTAATGCACTAACTGCTACTAATGACGACGTGCTTCGTAGAGCATTCAGTTTACCTGCGGGTTTCGGTCAGTACCCTTTGCTTGTTCCGTCACGATTCCGTTGCTTGGGGATGAAATCAAGCATTTTCTTGGGTGATACTTGAGGCTTTCCTCCAGTTGAATCCAATCCTTGGGAACGCGCTCTTGTTCTGTGATTGCTCGAGCCACGGATCCGACAAACCGATCTTGGAATGCAGCCAGGAGTTGCGTTCGGTTGCCACCGTACCAATTATCCATTATGGCTTGTCTCACTTCGTTATCGGTGGCCCAGACTACGATGGACGGATGAGAGTGTAGACGGCGAACCTGTCTTCGAACTTCCTTTTCCACGGTGTCCAATGGATCTGGGCTAAATGGAGCGAAAGAAGTGAATATATAATCTCAGGGGATTATCGACACAGAGTAACTTGTTTGAAAATCCAAGGCGCTATCCTGGCTGGTGTTAGAATTTGGCAAAATCTAATTACCTGCCTGGATTTTCAAATGCTGCCTTTACATCGTCAGGTGACCAGATTTAGCTTTGTCATCCTTCATCCAACTCGCGTAGGTTCCTTCAGTTTGGAATGGAACACCAATTCTCATGCACAGCTGCTGTTAACATGGTAATTTTTGATGATGCTAGCTTGTTAGCTCGATGTACTGTGGACTCAAAATATTACTCCCGTTGCTCTTCTGATGATCTCCACCCAAGATTTAACTATTTATCAGTGATTCTGCAATAATTTACATCCAGTTAATCATCATTATTTCCATCCATTTTCCCACGGCTATTCACCGTTCGGATCGATAATGACCAACCAAACCGCCTTAACTTCAATCGACGCCATTACCGTGAGGTTCGCTCAAAGATGCCCTACGATACTATTGTGTTAGATCAGGTTTTTGCATAAGACCGAATTCATTGTTCTCCGTGATGGCTAGTATTGAGTGCAAACCATTTCGAACGGACAACTGGATGTAACCGGCCATTTTGCTGTCGACGCAGCAGAACCACACAGTAGTGACATGAAGTGCACCCCTATTTTTTACAGTGACCACATAATGACGAATTCTCTCCGATTGCTCAACTGTGGGTGTCGTGTGGAAGCTGATGCTACGGGTTCAAGCACACTGGTGTAGACCAGGAAATACTGACCACTTATATGCTCTATAAGAGTGGGGGACATGGATCGAGTTGTTGCTTGTTCCCGAACAATGGTCACTAACAAGGCAACCACACAGCAACCTAATACCATGCTTCCTTCTCCACTAACAGGGCGATGCCGCGTACAATTTAGATAGACGAAATGATGGGTCGTTTGTTTCCTTCCCCCTACCTCTGCCGACTCTTTCAATCGTTTTAATGATCGAACGAATCTAGGCACGAAGCACTACGATAGTACAAGTCACTCTCTGATATATAACACCCACGAACTGGGTGAGTTTGGCGTGAGCCGGTCGAAATGTATTGGGTCACATTAGGCAAGGTATTCCATATCTCTGGCCCCAGTATGCATCATTAGACTCCTTCCATGCTTTCTTGACAACTTGCATATTATTTCAGTCCGGCCAGCTCTAAACTGGCGACGGTGTTGAACCATTCCGTGTATGTCAAGTCGTTTACGCCAATGACAACAATTTAACTGCAGAGCGGTTTTGCGCGAGCATCTGTTAATTTGACGGGTCAATGAGCGTGCGTTTATGGGCCAAGTGAGTTATCATGCGTTGTGTTTCAGTGTACAGATGTGAACCCCAGAATGACATGATTCAACGGAACACACTTGTTTACGCTCGTTTCTATGTATGACCCTGTTTTTCACGATTCCTAACACCTTTTTATACATAGAAGCAAATAATCCCTGTAATTGAAATTCACACCACCAAGTCAGTTGACCAAGCTACGGGTGCTGAGTCCCGTGATCAACGGATGTTTTGACCACTGCAACTTCAACTATCACGAACGGACGTGCGCGCTATATGTGGTGCTTTCATTCAGGCGTGGTGGGTACTACCAGATCTCAAAAGAACAGACACGTCACCAGAGGCAATGGTCGCTTTGGTTGAGATTGGTGAGGGGAAATTCATGCACTGTCGCTTTAGTTCCGCAGGAAATCACATAGGTCGCGTGGTTTGTTCATTTCAACTTACCATCAGTTGCCTATTTGCGGCAGTTTCCCCTCAGTTTCTATTGGGAAAAACAGAACTGCCGACCGAGTGCTCAGATGTGGAGTTCAACGCCAGACAGCTAATGATAATGCTTTGTCAGTGTCATGCTTACGATGATGGATTAGGAAGTGATACAACACATCTTATGCATTTTAATCTTTACTTGTACCCATGATGCTCACCTTTCTCTTGATGGATATGTGGACACCGCAAACATCATATCATGCCAAATCATCAGTCCGAGCCGATCAGCCTCACGATAGAATTCCTCTGGTTCGTACCGGCCACCACCCCAAACACGAACAATATTCATTCCGGTCATCGCTGCTGAGCGGAGTAATCGTTTACTATCCCACGAAGGATCACGCGTCGAGTTGTGCATAAATCCGGAAACACGCCCAGGTAGCAACCGATGTGGAATCCAGTTGGCACCTTTGGCAAACACTGGCACACCATTTATTTGTAGGTAGAAGGACAAACCAGCATCCGGATCGTCGCGTACCACCGGTTTCTGCAATACAACAAATTTTACTTAAATATTCTTACCCTGTCTATGAACTTGGGGATATTTCATAATCCTAGAGCCTAGACATATGAACGGCTCAAAGCTGGACATTGAAAATTACCGCCTAGTTATTCACACCGATTATTTCGGATATCATGGAAAGAATTGTGAAGGAAAAAAACCGTTAAGCACTTGCTATCATTAGATTTTACAAATCCAACCCAACATGGATTCTTAAAATGTCGCTCATGCCAAAATTGGTCAGCTGGCATTTCCGAATAGTCTGACAAACTCCATTCACAATGACAGAGCGGTCATCATTCTCTTGATTGACGCACAGTAGGCCCTTGACCAGAGTGCCGCACGACAGCGTTTTGATGAAGTTAACAAATTTCGGGATCACCGATTTATTACATTAATGGTACAAATCTTAGCTCTCTGGTCGCACGCAACTGGCACAAATTAGACCTATTAACCCTCCATCACTGTAGATCAAAAGTGTGATTCTAGGTGGTACGTTGGGTCCATTGATCTTCCTAATGCATATCAATGATTTAACTGAAATAATAAAAGTTGGGATAATGTATATCTTTGTGGATGACATAAAAATACTACACACCTTCGATATTCGGTGATTGGGCGAAAACATGCACATAAACACACTGGTTTTGGATTCATGTTACACCAATTGGCAAATGTCTATCTCAGCGAACAAGTGCAGTCTGTTGACATGTAAGTGTGTGCTTGGTTGTCTCCCGTAATAATACTATCCATCCGTTACTCTAGCACTCTCACTTTTGTTGAGGTAGTTGAATTCGTAACGGCGAGATCAAGAAGAACTTCAAAACGCATCTTCAATCATTCTCGATGCGTAAACCCAAGCTACAATTTTTAAGGTCTACATCTGCACTGTTCGGTTATTTTTATAAACCGCAAGCAATGCAACCGCATATATCTGGAGGACGGATAGCGCTTGTCTACTAAACCTCTCTTTGTCCAAACTAAATTATTCCGAGCCTTGTAAGAAGCTACAACTGGAACCGATGTGGCTAAAACGCACAAAGCTAGGAATAACATTCCTATTTGATTTGGTCTATAGTCGTGTGTTCGTACCAAATATCCCTATTCACTTCAAACAAGAAAATGGATACACAAGTAGGAATACCAAGTACACAATCCAGGTGTTCCAAACGTAGAATTAATATCCGATAGACTCATACCTAAACAGATACACTGAAAGCTGGAACCGCCTCCTTGTTGAAACGCGAGCCCGCAAATCGCGTCCAGAGAACAGCTTCTAACTGCCTGACAGCACAGTACATAAGAACAATGTAGTAAATAAATTGTAATAAAATAAACTGCAATTTGGGGAGGAGGACGAAACACAGGGGTGCTGACTACAAATAAGCACAAAACCTCATACGTGCATCGTCTTTACTATAGCTTGTGTCACACCGTACGGCCGCATTTTACCTCGGCCATCGCTTCACTCGCTGTGGCCATTCCAGTACTTCACACACATTCTTGTGCATGTGCTCTTTCGATAAGCGCTACTCAGTGCTTCCCCTCTCTTGGATCTGTTGTGTGGATCATACCGTTGCTTCAATCCTCAGTTTTGGCACATTCTACGCCATTTCTGAGCTTTTCGGGAATAACTTTGGTCTCATTCGGAAGAAGAAGCTGAAGGGTTTCAATCGACCCTGCAACCCACCCCTACAGGCCACAGCATGACAAGGTTACTGGGCATTTTCGTCGCTCGGCCACCAAACGTCGCGTCCAAAACACTTGGGAAACGTGTCAGCGCTCCGATCGCGTAACCCGACCCGATCGATACACGTCGCGTTTTGGTGTGTATGTGTGCGCACAACCGCGAGACGACCGATCGCTGAATCCGATAATCGGCGCGTGATCGCGAGAGAGGGAGGCAGAGACAGGGCTTTGTATCGGTGGTCTGACCTTGGCGTCGGAAATACCAATCTAGGGTCCGGGGCTGGACTAAATGTCAACACATTCACGTGACCTGATGTGCGCGAGTGGCCGATCCGCAGTGCCTAAAGGCTCATTTGTAGCGGTGTGGAGATTTCCCGGTTTGCCTGTGTAAAATTCTAAACAAAAGTTGTATTTCATTGTACACACGCGACCGGTGCGAATTGTTGAACTGGTTGCTCAGTTCGATTGCTAGAGTCGAGCATCGCCATTTTTGCTTTGCGTTCGTCTCGATTGCAACGAGCGATCACTGTGTGCTGCGCATTTTGCGTTCCCCAGCTAATCGCGTCAAACGTTATTCTTTTTTTATAAAAAGGCAAACAGGGGACTTTTTTCTATACCAATTAAAATGTTTCCCTGCAACCCGATCTGTCTTCCGGAATCGCTATCCGGGCTCCAGCTAAATTGGAGGCCCCGACGCAACGTTCACGTAAGTGGTTGCGCAGGAAGTTCGTTGTGCTCCTAGTGGGGGTGCAGGGATCCGGCGAAAAGTGCAGCCATCCGACGGTGTATATAAGGAAATCGAAATGGAATAGGGCAGCGTAAATGCGTAGCCATATGTGTTAAAAATAGTGTAATTCGAAAAATTGCGAAGTTGTTTTTAGATTTTAGAAAGGTTTTGCTCTTGTGGTAATTTCGACACGTATTGTCCTTTATTGTACTTTGAAAAACGTTTGTAAGAGCATGCAAATGTGAGAGACACGCTCTATGGAAAATAGCAAACGCTAACAAAGCCGGAAAAACTAACTGGGGGTTTGAGCTCCCTACCAGGCCGATTGATAGTAGGCCGAGTGGGTGTGGGTGGGTTGAGGCTGTAGATTCCGCTAGTGCGGAGTGGCTGGTCTGAGGTTGCAGTGCTGGCCGTGATAGCGCGGGTCGAGGAGATTCTTGTAGCACAGCAGAATCAGCGTCGTCGAGGAATGCGGGCTTGAGTCGGTCGATATTGCTAGTCCTAGTTGTACCATTCTAGCCAATGGTAAATGTCTCGTCACTTCTGTGCACGACTCGGTACGGGCCAGAATAAATTTGTTGGTGTGGCCGGCATAAGCTGTCAGCGCGAACGAACATTTGCGTGCAAGTGGTTAAGCATTCATTCACGTTTGTATGCAAGCTCTATGCTCTGGATTGCACAGGCTATAGTTGTCTCCAGTGAAGACATAGGCGAGATGTGTAGTCGCCATAGCCAAAAGTTGTTGTTACTTTAGGTGAGACAAGTTTACCAGGCAGGCGCTTTGTGCAGCCAAAACTCGCGAAGAAGGAATGGTGTACAAATCCGCTTCAATCGTGTTGCTTATACCTAAGAGGACCAGTGGAAGTGCTTCGCGCCAGGATGTGCTAGATTGGACACAGAGTGTTGCGTTAAGTTGCGGGCGGAACCATTCTACCATCCCACTAGCGGTGGGGTTGTATGCAGTGGTGCGGTTGTGCTAGCAACCAAGTACCTTGCGAAGTTTGCTGAAGGATCAGTCAACGAGTGATCCTCTGTTGGTGATTACTACACTTCGGCAACCAAAGTGAGCTACCCAGCTTGCAACCGTTTCAGATGAGCAGTTTGCTATCGGAATAGCTTCTTGCTAAAGTGTAAATCTGTCGTCACAGGTGACGAGGTACACTTAGCATTCGCATGGAGGCAAAGCTCTAATCAAGTCGACGTGGGCGTGTGCAAAACAAGAGTCAGGAGCTGGGAAGGCGGCGAGTGAGCTTTTGGTGTGTCTGTACACCTTGGCGCGCTGACACGTGCACACGCGAGCCCAAGTACGAACATCGCTGTTGAGGTTGGGACGGACGAAGCGTTCGGTTATGAGCTTCTGCAAAGAACTTATGGCGGGATGCGATATGTTGGGTACAGCATTAGATACTAGTCGCCGAATTGTCATTAGAATTAGGCGGTGGGGAGAGCTTTGTGAGACGTCACAAAGAATGGTCCCCTCAGATGAAGTTAGTGGAACTTCGCCTAATTTCAAAGAAGTGGTGCGTCGAAACTTGCGTATGTCGGGAGCAGCTTGTTCGGCTGTAGTCATTTCGGCCAGGTCGAAGTTGAGTCAAGGTGATAGACTTATCTGATTCATTTGTGAAAGATATTTTAAGACGGGATTTAAAATGACCGAGACATGTCCTATGTCTGTCATGAATTAAGATACGTGGTCTAGGTGTCTAGTTCTCCACGGGGAATACTTTTCTGTTGCGCCACTGATTGCATAGATCAATGGCTTGTGGTCAGTAAGGACAGTGAAATGTCGACCTTCGAGATAGTGACGGACTGCCATGTACCTAGATACATTCCCCGTAGTTTCCTGTTGAAGGTGCTGTGACGCGATAATGCAGATAGCAGACTTTTGGAAAATAAACCTAGGGGTATCCATCGATGGTCGATGAGTTGTTGAGGGACTGCACTGACAACGGTGTCTAGTGCATTAGTCATCAGAGGAAGTGGTGCAGTTGGATCTGGATGAGCGAGAAGCGCTATGTTTGAGATATCCTCTTTAAACATCTCGAAAGGCAGTCTAACTTCATCCGGAAAATGAAAAAGTGTTGATTACCGCGGAGCAAGTCGGTCATAGGTTGCATGATACTCGCGCAGTTATGAATAAACAGTTGGAAATAGTTAACCAGGCCAAAGAATCGGCGAAACTGTTTGAAGAAACTAGGAGCAGGATAGTCAGTCAATGCTGGAATTTGTCTTGTAGAGCTTCAATACCAATGGAGGATATGTGTGAGTAAGAAAGTCGATGGAGCTATCGCCAACTTCGTATTTGTCAGGGTAGGCGGTAACCACATATTGTGTTAGTCGTTGGCAAAACGCGTCAATATGACGGAGGTGTGTATTTCACCTGAAAACACACTCTTTCAATGTTGCCCAACCTTGGCTTTTACTGTTGTTTTTACCTTCGAATCGTCCGTTTGTTTTACTGACGTCACTTCCGTTGTCACAAACCGCTTTGGTGTTTTCCGTGCTGCACCGTCTTTCGCTCTTGTTGATTCGCTTCCTACTTTTGTAGCCTGCACAATACACGTTGGGT